GTCAGAAGCATCTCATAGAAGAATCTGAATGCTGCCTACAGAAGTTCTGAGCGCTGTCTGCAAAAGGATCTGAAGTAGAAGCTACAGAAGAATCTGAAGCAAAAGCCTCTGAAGCATTGAAGACTTTTTGTATGAGATTCAAGAAGCACAGTTTTTCAGAAGACTCTGAGAGTACTACACGCTGCATGTACTGAGGATCTGATCCATAAAACTCTGCTCTGATAGAACTACACGCTGAAGCACACTTGCTGCATTACTCTGATTCAATAAACTCTGATGGACATCAAAGACTCTGATCACCAAGGCTCTGATGTTATTTGCTGAAGTATGAAACAATTTTTGAAGAAGATTTCAAAAGTTATGTCCGTTGATTTGGCTCCACGACTCTTTCCTCTTTCATGCTTGACACTAGAACACAGACCAAAAGGATTTCTCTGTGCATTCCATTTCCAGGAAAGGTCATGTGATGTGAAGACAAAAAGGTTTCAGCCTTTTCAGTACACAGCCTTCAACGTGAAAGACTTTGTGGACTACTGTGCCTATAAAAGCAAGTCTCCATCATCTTCTTCAAGTTGACGAATCATTGAATAGAAATTATCACAAGCTCTCATAAATTATTCTTATTCTCTTTGCTGAGTTTATTTCATAGTTCTTAATCTTAAGTGAAAAATCACAGTTGTGATATAGCTTATTAGAAGCATTTAAACACTTGTATTATTCTTACATTTGATTGTAAAAGATCCTTGAGAAGATCCAGTTGGGATCAGTAGTTCTTGAGAAGACTAAGAACAGTTGCTCTTAGTAGTTGCTATTGTAATCAATTGATTAATAGTGGATTAAGTCCTTGTTGAGAAAGGCAAATCACTCTTGATAGGGTGGACTGGAGTAGTTGAGTTCAACGAATCAGGATAAAAATCATTGTGTTTTTATTGCTATAAGTTTTTCTATATACTTATTCAACCCCCCTTCTAAGTATTTTCTCACCTTCAGTTATGCTATCCTTGGATATTATGTTTTTAATGTGGCTAAAGGACTACAAAATAAAAGAAGAAAAACCTTCAGGGAGGCATTTGAAAACAAGAGGAGTCAAGGATGGTTGAAAAATCATACTTGTAGGCTTGTTAAATTACCTAGGCAGAAAAGGGTAATTTAGAACAAGTGGATTCAAGTTGCGAGATCAAAATTCAAGAGTTACTTAAATTTGATCAAAGTTATTGATTAAAGTTTCAACTTGGTAGAGAGCATCAATGTTGTTGATTGTTAAATTGGTATCAACACGGTTTAAAGTCAAGGTGGATATTGTTGTAAATGTGCCTTAAAACCTTTGTTGATGAAGAGAAAGAAAACATATTTTGGAGATTACATTTACCGTGAAAATCAGAAGTTTTAAAAAGTCGGACGAAAACTCGAGAAAAAAAATCGGTCGGTGAATAGTGTTGTCCGTACGGTGAATAGTCTATCTGTACAGATGAATAGTATCGTTCGTACGATGAATAGTATTGTCTGTACGATGGATAGTGTTTTCGAGTTTTCGGACTTTTTTCGATCCGGTCCTTGGATCCATGTGATTTTGGACTTTGTTTGTTAGGTATTTACTATTATAAATATGTATCTCTTATATGTTTGGTGTGTGATAATCTTAGAGTTTACTCCAACAAGGGAGATCAAGGTTTAAAGGTATATCATAGGATTTAAGCTATCCACAAAGAAAACCTTGAATTACACCTTGGTTTGAGTGATTCATATATTGAGACTTGGAGAGGTAGGGTAGAAAATAGAGTTGTTCTTGGGTGCCTTCAAGGTTATTCTTGGGAACCTGAAGGCGAAGGCTATTTTCTTGTAACTCATTTGTAATATCTTGTAACAACTTTTTGAGTATAGTGAATTGGAGAGCTGCTCTCTCCCCAGAGTAGATCGTTTGATCGAACTGGATAAACAAACCTTTGGTTTTTTCTTACCTTATTCTGTTATATTATCTGTGTACAGATTATTGATGTAGACCATTTATTTTGGTTGCTGTTGCTCTTTATCTCACAAATTGATATTGGATTTTGTCGTAATTCTCAACAAGATTCACAACATATTTTAATATATTTTTTATAATGTTTATTTTATTTTATTTTTTAATATACTTTAGAAAACTTATATGTAAAGGATTATATATATTGTAGTTAAAAAATGATTGTATAATTTTTTTTTAAATATAATTTTGTTACATGTGATTGTAGATATGGTTACAAATTATATTTTATAAATAATTTGAAGCATTTGTATGTCTATTTGAAAGTTATAATTAAACTTAAAATTTTAGTATGGTCATTTTATTTTAAGAATTTTTACCATATTTTATTTAGTATATTTTTAAACCGTTAAATATGAATTATTATTCTTTTGTGGATTTTTTAAAATAAAACTCTTGATAGTCTAATATGTTTTGTTAGTTATAGAATATATTGACTATGACTTTTAAACAAAGTATAATGATATTGTTTTTGTGTGTATCTAACTATGTCATTAATTTATTCAATACTTTTTTTTAATGTTAATTAAATATAATTTATTAATATATTGTAGAAAATTTAAATTTAAAGGATTATATATTGTAGTTGAAAAATGATTGTCTACTTTTTATTTCTAATATAATTTTATTACATGTAATTGTAGATATAATTAAAAATTATATTTTATAAATAATATGAAGCATTTGTATGTCTATTTAAAAGTTATAATGAAACTTAAAAATATAGTATGACCATTTTATTTTAAACATTGTCATAAGATTTTTGTACTATAGTTTAAAAATGGTTAAATATGAATTATTATTCTTTCATTAAAAAAAAGTTATTTACAATGAGTGGAATATATAAATGTAGTTTTAGATATATAAATGTTACACATTATAGTGAAATGAATATTATAAATTTTAGATAGTTATATTTTGAAGAGTGTCGCATCAGATTTTAATTAATATGACAAGTTAGATAGTGATTTGTCAATGAAATAAATCGGTTCTAGATTTAATATATTATAATAGTTGTGTAAAAAAAATAACAACTTTTTGCAATTATACAAGACATCATTTAATAAGCAACAATTATGTTAATTTACAGCAATATTTTAAACATGAACAATAATTTTTTTACAAACACGCAAAAAGAAAGAATAAAATATGTACAGGATTAAGTAGATAACTACACGATGTTCCTCTTTCTCATGTAAATATCATATTCTCTTTCTTCCTGCAATTCCCTTTCATATGTTCCTCTTTCTACATGGTATGTGATTATGTATTTAAATTAGATCCTTAAGAATATACATCAAATCTAAAAATTAAAAATCTCTATATATCAAAATTGAAAGACTTTAAAATTACTCCAAACCATAAAAATTGAAACTTAAAAAAATACGAATAAGAACAAAACTCATTTTTTAGATCTGAAAAAAAACCCCATAAAAAAATGAAACTTAAAAAAAAAACGAACAAAAATAATACTTATCTGCCTATTGAAATATTTTGGGCTTCAAATCTTGATTGGTTCTAGTTTTTGCTTTAGGCACACTTCTTCGTAAACCGTTTTAAGGGAAAAGATCAATTTGATTAACGAAACCGTTTTAAGGGATTATAATGTAATATTTTTTTTAACTAAGGGACCAAAGCGAAACAATAAATTAAGAGACCAAAAGATGAATTAAGCCTAGTTGATATTTATAAAACTAAATAATTAGATAAATGTTTTTATAAATAATGTCAAAACAAAATTAAGATTTACATACAGAAAAATATACAATTGATCCAAATATTTATATATATGAAAAAACTATATTTATGGTCCAAATATAAATAAAAATATATTTTTTTTAAATAATAAACTTTCTTGGATGAATAATTTTGTCTTTTTGTTTTTTTTCATGATTATTACATTTTAGAAACAAATGTGCGTAACACACTAGTACCTATACAAACGCACGAGTATCGAGACCAGAATTTATGTGAACGCACGAGTTATTATATTTTTAAATTAAGGAGTGAATCTTAATTTTTTTTGTAAATGGGATTTTATCCAAATATTTTTATAAATAATATTAAAACAAAAATAATATTACATATAGAAAAATATATTGTGCATTCAAATATTTTTATATATGAAAAAATTATATTTATAATTCGCATATAAATTAAAATCTGTCTTTTTTTATAAATAATAAACTTTTTTGATAAAGTAATTTTGTTTTTCTTTATTCTTATTATGTTTTATAAATAAATGCGCGTAACATACTAATACCATTATGAATGCACAAATATCCCACAATTTAACAACCGCTTGAGTCTCCAATCCAATTTTTAAAACATTGATTTCAATATCACTGTAACCTTGTTTATCATTATAGAATGAAATGCTTCCTTAAAAAATAACATTGAAATCAGAGATATTATCAACTTGTAGTAATTTTATTTTAATTTGCTAGAATTAATATATTTTCCAACTTACAAATATGAAACATCTTTTGATAGATGTTTTATATAAACAGCATTGCTATGTTGACACCCATTTCTACATCTTACACCTCAATTACTGTTCACAAATACTTGAACAAATTTTCCAGAACATGGTTAATAGTGTGTATTTTATTGGTTAATGAAGTAGTGAAAGTGGTTAATAAATTATAGGTAAAATAATTGGCTAATAATGTAGATTTTTGTGGTTAATGCAACTGTGAAGTTGGTTAATGCACAATCTTATATTTGTGTTATAAAATAAATTTTAAAAATAAATATTTTTTTTTAAAAAAATAATATTTTAAAAAAATATATTATTTTAATAAAAAAAACACTGTTCACCGTATAAATACGGTGAATAGTGCATACGGTGTAAGTATTGGGTGTAAAAAAGGGTGTAGAAATAGCATTTTTCTTTATATAAATTGTTACTATGTTAATATTTTCCTACTTGTCAAGATTCAAATCCTAAACTAATAACTTCTTTATCCCCTTCCTTCCCTTACACTGTACTTGTTTCAACCACATGTCTCTTTTTGTACACAAACCCTTTGGCTATCCACAAATAAACACAAAGATTTAGAGCACTTAACATAGCCAATACCCCATAAAAGTAATTAAGATGTGCCTTATTCAAATCACTTCCCAACCATTTTTCACCGCTCTTTGAAGTTATTATCACTACAAGATTTATAATACCATTGCTAACAAAACTTCCAACTCCAACTATACTTAGATACGCTGCAGCTCCCAAACTTCTCATGGAATCCGGCATTTGATCATAGAACAATTCTTGAAGTCCAACAATCGTAAACGCATCCGAAACTCCGCAAATAGCGTATTGAGGTAACATCCACCAAATACTCATTGGTATAGTAATTTCTTTGCCATGAGTATTGCCTAAGAGATTATGATTCTTAGCAACATCAATCCTTTTAGTTTCGACAAGAGCTGCAACAGTCATTGTAAATATCGACAAAAAAAGACCTACTCCGATCCTTTGCAAAACGGTTATACCAGATTGGTGCCCTGTAAATTTTCTAGCGAATGGGACAAAAACTTTGTCATAGAGGGGCACTGCGAACAAGATCACAATTCCAACTAAGCCTTGAAGCGCCGACGGAGGAATTAAGAAATGTTGTACCGTTGATCTGTCTAATGTGCTACTTTGTTTGACGAAAAATGATCCTAACTGACTTTGAACAACGGTAAACATTAAGCAAGTTAGCCATATAGGAATGAGACGAATCACGAGCTTCACTTCTTCGACTTGCGTCATTGAGCATAGTCTCCAAGGGTTTATATCCTTTCTTGATGTATCTTGTTCATCAATGATCATTGCTTTGTCCAAAAACCTATAGAAATATATTTGAGTTTTTCTTAATTCTTGGTAATAAACGAAAAAGAGTGAAAGATAAAGTTACTTACTTTAATTGGTCGGTGTGAGCCAAAGTTTGAATTACGGGCGGAGATTGTGAAGTATGTAAGCTATCATGATCATTACCGTACCAATAATTATCTCGACCAGGCGTGTTTTTCACGCGCCACTTACGAGCTGCAGCAACAAAAACTCGGGCAATACTAGTGATCGGACTTCCTGTTGGGCGTTCCTTCGTATATCTTTTCATTCCTAGCAAGAATATTGACAGTGCTATAGCCAACATTGATGCCAACACTACAAGCCCAACAGTCCAACTTACATTTTCCTGTGTTTTTTTCCATATGAATGTAATATTTTTCAATTGAATAATATTTATATATTCATATTCGATCAGATACATCAGTTATTTAATAAATAAAAATAATAACTTTTTAGTTAATAATAACACCAAGAGGGACTATTTAGAAAATTAATTTTCTTAGTAATATTAACATAGAAATTTACCATTAGGTATCCGATCACGAACACGGCAAAAACCGAACCAATGACAATTGACAAGTACCACCAGTTGAAGAATGATCTTTTGGCGTTTTTCTCCTCCTCGGTGTCTTCGGCAAATTGATCGGCGGCAAACGTTTGTACGCATGGTTTGTGCCCGCCATCACCGACAGACAATATATAAAGCGCGACAAAGAATAACTTCTTATTTTTTAGTATCGAGACCGATACTGTCAACAAAAGCATGCCCTACATATGTAGTATGTATTAGATGACATAAATATAAATGTGAATGATTAAGTCTCATATCGTCTATAAATAAAAAACATATTAAATATATATAAGAGTGGTATAATATTAAAGAATAAAATTACCAAGAGATAGATGAGAGATGCAATGATAATTGTCTTGAATCTACCAAGATATGAATCAGCAATGAATCCACCAAGCAAAGGAAAGATAGAAGAAACACCAACCCAAGTGTTTCTGTTCTTAGCAGCTTCAGTTAATGGCTCGTTAAGTGCTTTATTGAGGTATAAAATCAAATTTGTACTCAATCCAATGTTTGCAAATTGTTCTGCAGCTTCCATAACTACAAAATAAAAATTGCTAATAATTCAGAATTCATCTATAAAATAAATAAAATAAAATAAAAATAAGCCAAAAAAATAAAAAGGATATTTTAGGGTTACTCACCTATGATGAAGATGGCAGCATGCCATCCTCCTCTATTTGTTTTGGTAGGTTGGTCTTTGACATCACGTTTGTTTTCTTCCATAGCCATGCTGAGAGTTTAATTGTAAATGAATTGGATGCAGGTATATTTACATGTGTGTGTATATATATATATAGACAAAATAAAATAGTTATTTTAAGGAGGAGCAGTTAAACTTTGTTCTAACTTATAGACGGGAAAAATAAACTGTGTTAAATACTAGCTAACAAAAAGAAACTTGTTAGTTTTTGTAGAATGGTTATGTGTTTGTGTCATTTTTTTAGTTGAATGCTACACTATTAATTATAGTTTTGTCGTTATTATTTTCATATATTTATGGTAAAAAGAGAAATAGTTAAAACAAGATAACAAATAGTTTATTTAAAAAAAAACAAGTAATTTTTTTTAAAATTTATTAGTTTTTAATTTATGTATGAAACATAAAATTGAAAATTGTTCCATGTGGAAATCATATTTGTTGATGTAGATAAAAAAATTACATCAAATTTACAACTATTTATTTTATAATAAAAATAAAAAATTATCAATTTAATTTGTGAACAGAATTGAAATATTTATATTATTTTAAATAAAATATAATAGACTATTTTTAAAATCGGAAAAGAAAACAGATGAATGGATGGACTTGCCTTATACATTATGATGAATATAATAATAAAATTTTATCCTGGTTTGAAGTTCATTATATCTCATAATTCATACCGTTTATAACTAATTGATATGACTCCTTATATTAAATAGTTGGCTATGTCAATTTTAATATAATTAAGAATTAGTTGGATTCTAATTGTGTTATAATTTAGAAATAATATTTATTTATTATTATGACAATGAATATTATTACTATAAATATTCATATTAATTTTTTTAGATAATCAATATACATGGTTTACTTATATAATATTATTTTTATAAATATTCATATCAATTTTTTTTAATATAACATAGGAAACAAGAGATCATTTTGTACATTATTTTATTCATCTTTATAATAAAATTTATTTATTATTTGTTATAATCAAAATTATAATCTTCATATTGTTTTTAAATTATAATAATAAATACAAATATTAAATGATTAACTAATTTATATTCAATCAAAGGAACATGAAAAAAACATACATATATATATATATATATATATATATATATATATATATATATATATATATATATATATATATATATATATATATATATATATATATATATATATATATATATATATATATATATATATATATATATATATATATATATATATATATATATATATATATATATATATATATATATATATATATAATTTAAAAAAATTATATATGAAAAAAATTACACCTTTAAAAACTCGAGGCATGAAAAATAAATAAATAAATAATAAGTAATATGAGAATGTGAGAATAAATAAGATATAAAATAAATATTACTATGATTAAATATTTTTCACATATATATATATATATATATATATATATATATATATATATATATATATATATATATATATATATATATATATATATATATATATATATATATATATATATATATATATATATATATATATATATATATATATATATATATATATATATATATATATATATATATATATATATATATATATATATATATATATATATATATATATATATATATATATATTACTATAAAAAAATATTCATAATCAAGTTTTTTAAAATTCATCCATCACCATGGTGATTTAACATATATTATAGTTATATGAACATTGCTAACAATTAAATAAAATATTCAAATTAAATTCATTTGAAACATACAAAATTAATTTAGTCTCCGTAAAAAATAATGTTTGTTTGTAATACTATAAATATACAATTAAATTAATTGTGAAAATAATAAACATTTAAACTTTTATTATTATTGAAAATTGAAAAATACATATGAATAATAAATATGCTATTTTATTTTACTTAAAAATTAAAAAAAATATACATATAATATTTTATCTCAAATATTAATACCACATATAATAAAAGGCAAAATAATCTTTTTGGTCCCTTAACTTTAACTCGGGGTCCATTTTGGTCCCTTATCTTTAAAAAGTGCCAAATTGGTCCTTTAATTTTTAAAATGGTGTCACGTTTATCCTTCCATTAGTTGTCGTTAGTTTGTTTTTGAAAAAATTGCCATGTGGAGTGCTGAGGTGGAATGTTGAGGTGGAAGTGAAGAGGGCACGACTTGAAGAAGAAAACAGTGAAGAACGATTGAAAGCAAGATTGAAGAAGAAAACACTGAAGAAGCAGAAAACGATTGAAGAGAAGCAGAAAACGAAGAAGAAGAAAACGATTGAAGAGCAGAAAACGAAGAAGAAGAAAACGATTGAAGAGAAGCAGAAAACGAAGAAGAAGAAAACGATTGAAGAGAAGCAGACGATTCAAGAGCCAATCTCGAAAGGTTAGTTCATCTATCTGATTTAGAGTTTTTCGGTATAGGTTCAGACAGATTTAGGGTTTATATAAATTTGTTAGTTTAAACGTTAATTACTTACATGGTATGCCCAGGTATCATGGAAGAATACATAACTCTGAAAATTCATCATAGTGGTGAGTTCACAGACAAAGGTCGTAGTGTATATGAGAATGGAGTAGTAAATGATTTGAGGGTAGATGTCGACAGATGGAGTTATTTTGAGCTAGTTGGTGTATTGAAAGACCTAGGTTACAGGGAGTTTGAAACAATATTTTACAAGGATCCTGAATTTGGGATGAACCGACTTGTTGATAACAATGGTGCTTTAGAAATTGCCGCAACAAGAGCCGCCATGTTAACAAAAGCCGCCATGACAATGGTCTTTTATGACAATGCCGGAATATTTGGAAGTGGAACTGAGTCAAACCACATACTGCCACACACTGCAACAAGAGCCGCCATGTTAGTGCGAATCAACACACTTCTCCAAGGCTATTCTGGTATTCGATTTGAAATCTTGGAAGCCATAACCAAGCTCATTAACAGCAACATCACCCCGTGTTTACCACTTCGAGGTACTATCACTGCTTCGGGAGATTTAGTCCCTCTTTCTTACATTGCTGGTTTACTAACAGGAAGACCGAACTCCAAAGCTCATGGACCTTCTGGAAAAATACTTAATGCCAAACAAGCTTTTCAATTCACTGGAATCAATTCTGATTTCTTCGAGTTACAACCAAAAGAAGGACTTGCACTTGTTAATGGAACTGCTGTTGGTTCTGGTTTGGCTTCTATTGTTCTATTTGAATCCAACATCTTGGCTGTCTTGTCTGAAGTCCTATCTGCTATTTTCGCCGAAGTTATGCAAGGCAAACCCGAATTTACGGATCATTTGACACACAAGTTAAAGCACCACCCTGGTCAAATTGAAGCTGCTGCTATTATGGAACATATTTTGGATGGAAGTGCATATGTCAAAGCGGCCAAGAAGTTGCATGATTGCACATGTTGAGAGCGGTATGATTGCACCCTGGTCCTTCAACTCATGTCTTCCACATTCTTGATTGCACTCTGCCAAGCAATTGACTTAAGACATTTGGAAGAGAACTTGAAAAACTCAGTTAAGAACATCGTAAGCCAAGTTGCTAAACGGACCCTTACAACTGGTGTTAATGGAGAACTCCATCCTTCAAGGTTTTGTGAAAAGGACTTGTTGAGAGTGGTTGATAGGGAGCATGTGTTTGCCTATATTTATTTGTTTCTCTTGAAAATTCTTTCTTTGTACTAGATTTGTGTAGCGATTATTACTAGATTTGTTATGCCTTTATCATCATTTCACTTTCCTCCAATGTTAAAGTGAAACTTGTAATTTACTTTTATAATAGAATTTCATTGTTGTTTGACATACATTTTTGGTTCATTTGTGCAACTATATAATATATCCGTTGACTAGTGTTTGGCCAAGTAGGCAGTGGTTAGTCAATCAATAAAAATAAGTATGTGTTTCTTTTAAGATAAGAGTAACAAATTAACATATTAGCATTTTTATCTAAAACAGATTAGCAGTATGTATGCTTGTGAAAAATTTATACAGACTTTTGGAGATAAAATGTCACTTATTATAAAGTATAAACTAATTCATGAGTAGTGATATAATGTTGCAGAATTGGAAAATGGGTCAAGGTTTTGGATGTATGATTACCTAATTATATTAATGACTGAATAATGACTATTAAAATTTTGAGTTCTAATAAATTAGAATCATTTTCTTATGGTGTTAAATTATATATTCTATTGTTTTCATGAAATAAAATCATATTGAGTTAAAACTTTGGCTAAAAGTGGGCTGTCATGTTAGGTAATAATAATTTGGATGTTCCTCTTACATTCTACTGTTGTTGTCATGAACAAGTTTATGTGTTATGAACAAGTTTATAATTTGAAATTGTAAATTGAAATTGTGACATAATATATGCTGCTACACCAGAACTGTGACATAATTATTACAAGCTGCTACACCAGAAATTGTGACATAATTTGAAATTGAAATTGTGATATAATCTAAACTGTGACATAATTATTACAAGCACCACCTATAACCAAAACTGTAAATTGAAATTGAAAATATATGTTGCTACACCAGAACATGTTATACTATTGCAAACTTATGCTGCTACACCAGAACATGTTATACTATTGAAAATATTGCAAAACATTGCAAATATACCAATATGCCAATTATTGTTGCTGCTGCTGTTATACAAATTATTGCAAATATGCCAATATGCCAATTATTGCAAATATTACCAAACATTGCAAAACATTGAAATTATTACAAGCATCACCTACACCAGAACATGTAAATTGAAAATATTGCATATATGTCAATTATTGTTGTTGCTGCTGTTATACCAATTATATGTTTCTGCTGTTATGCTGAAATATTGCGAAACACAATACAATCCAATTATACCAATTATATGTTGTTGCTGTTATGCTGAAATATTGCAAAACACTTTACAATCCATATATTGAAATTGAAATTAACTGTTGTTATGCTGCTGCTTTATGTATGCTGCTGCAAATATTGAAATTAA